TGTAGCCTTGAATTCGATGTTTTCTATTTGTCTGCCTGGAAAAGGAGGTAACTTTGTGTCCTCTCCTCTCTCTTCCTTTCACTCTCTCCTTCCTGTTCTTTTTGCTCTGATTTAGCTGAGGGTTTGTCAAAGTTCTGCCAGCAAAGTTTGCTGTAACTTTGACATCACACAGGCATCTGATCTTCACTTTTTCTTTCTTTTTTTTTTTTTATTTAAAGCAGACTGATGTGGTACGTTGTAAACTGCCAGGAGCACTTGCTAATTTAGTAGTTAATGACAGTCACAAAGAGTGTTTTTCTTGCCCCTGGAGAGGTTTTAGACACAGCTGGGGTAGATTTGCCACTATCAATTATGCACAATTTTAAACAAGAATTGGCCAGCAGGGGCCTCTTTTTTTTTGCAGAGTGCAGAGCGTGAAGAATGGGAGTATGGCAGCTGGTACCTGCCTGCGAGGGAGAAGATATATAGGAGTCAAGAAAATAAGGGAAAGATTAATAGCTTACTATTTTTAAAGTTGCAGTTTCAACTCAAAAGTTTAAAATCTGCATTAAAAGTGGCCCACTGTATTTTTGTTTTAATTTGAGCATCCGAATTTTGTTGCAAAGCTTGACCTGGCCCTGTTAGAGCCACAAGCAAGTCAGTAGTCTCTGTTTTTACAAGCCAGGTAGGGATCAGGATCCTGTCTCAGATATCCTGTTGTGTTGTCTTTACATCCTTAAATGAAAGCAAGGTATGAATTTGATTTCACTGAATAATCTAATTTCACAGACAATAGTTCTATAAAAAGGGCTTGGCTTTGGGCTCCACTCCACCAATGTCAATCAAGAGCAACTCCAAGTAGTGGGAAATGCCAAGGATGAGAATCTGACCTAAGTAAATAGCTCAGGTCTAGAACAGCCAACATCTGGATCCATCTAGGTCAGGCTCATGAAGCAGCTGTGCTTAAATGACAGGACCTGGCTCACAGGCAGAGCTTCAGCTCTCTGGAGATGAGAAGGCAGCTGGCAGGGCACTGGAGACATCCTGGAAAGGGACTGTCCTTAGCAGGAGAATTCCTTGTTCCCTAGCACAGGATTCCAGGATTCAGGCACACATCACTTTCTTCTCTTACAGCAACACTCACAATTTTTCCCTTACAGGTGTTTGAAGCCAGTGTGGTTTCATCCAGAAAACAGGAAAACCATCACAAAATGAATTCTTGTGAGGACAGCACTGAGCACTGCCAGTTGTTAATAACTTGGATTAAGTGGGTTGGTTGCCATCTGGAACAAATGCAGCTCAAGATTAGTCAAATGCTGTTGTGTAGGTCACAAATCCTTCACTTATGGCGTGGTTGGGACACATTTTTCCAAAAATGCCATCTCACGATCAGGGGGAAATAACACCTCTGCCACCCCTGCTCTTCCCTCTCCTCCCCCCATTTGCCAGGGGAAGCATCAGGATGCCCTGGTGACCTCCAGGCTCTGAGATGACTCTGTCTGAATAGCCAGAAACCAGAAGTGGCTGGAATACTCCTCTGGAATGCCAGATGGCTGTAGGAAAGCAGCGTTATATTCCAGCTGTTAGGGCTGGAATGAATACATTTCATCACCATCCAAAGGCAGCAAGTTCTCATTTGACTGGGTACACAGTGAAGGTGTCATCATCATTATTAATTTGTTGGAATTTAATCACTCTAATGTATCTGGAAGCTGCACTAGATTAGATAAATGATGTCAAGTGCAGTGAGGAAGAGGCAGGATTCTGACACACGGATTTTTTGTGCCTCTTAACATTTGTGTTCACAGTTTTATCATCTATAAAAGCTGACAGGACTGGACCTTTTCCCACATATCCCTCTCGTGGGAGATGGAACAAAGGAGAGAGGCCAGAGCTGTGCTTAGGAATCTCTTGGTTTCACTCCGTGGGAGTCAGGGGGACCTTTGTCCTCAGAGACCTCAGAGCCTGCACCAAGCTCTCCCCACAGTCTCCAGCTGGATGCCAGAGATTTTTGGTCGCCCACAGGTGGATTCTGACCCTGTGGCACAGGAGTGAGGATTCCTGGTGCCCCTCTGCCCAGCCCTCCCCTCTCCTTGCTGCTGAGTGACACCACTCCCCTGGTGCAGCTGAACCGGGAGCTCTGGCAGAGGAGCTGTGCTGGATGCTAATCCAGCAGGGTGATGTCGTGTACTTTGATACGAGGCTGTGTTTCCTCGCCTCCCTGTCTGCCGATTCTGATGACATCTGTTTCATATTTCCCCTCGATAGGAGTTGTGACACATTACAACATACAAAGCCTGGCTGATTCCTAAAGTGAGCTTTACAGAGGATGGATTTATGTGAGGAAACCATGCTGGCTGTGTGGAAGGGGCCAAGCTCTGCTTGGAGAGGAATCCGCTACTTGCAGGGAGTTGTTCCAGTTCCTTCTGCATCAAGGCCATGGGTGCAACCCTCAATGTTACAAGGGTTTCCAAGAGAAATGCAATAAATGTGTTACCTGGGCAGGTGGAGGGTCAGCTTTGTTATGTGATCAGAGTCACAGAAGCCCGGGTGAGGGACAGAGGCCAAATGCTGCTCAGAAGTGCCTTGAGGAGCTGCAGGAGCTGTATCAGATAGCCAAGGCTAACACTTCCCAGGCTGCAGCTGTGTAAATAGGCTTTACTCATGTGAGTAAACCTCCTGGGGCTGTGTAATAGACTGTGTGGGGTATGTGTCTCCTTCAAAATGGTAATAAAGCTTTCTAATTGGAAGTATTTTAAGTCTAGACTGTAGTTCTGTCAGTGGTTTTCCCCTTCATCTTTTTTTTCCCCCTGCTTCTGAACGATTTTAAACTGACAGCCCTGGGGAGTGTTGTTTTCTCTTATCTGTGGAGATGTGTGGAGTGGCAGGGTGAGGCATCCCACCTTCCACTGGAAGGACCCTTGGATGGGGAGTTTGTGCTGCTGTACAGTGAATTCTGTGTGTGCTGTTACACAATGCACGTGGGGGGAAAAAAAATCCATATTAGCAGGGATGTCTGCACCCTCCCACATCTTCCCCCTACACTCCTCTTTAATGGTGACACCAGACTGGATAATAAGCAGCATCTTGTTTGGAAAAGAAGGGAGTCTCAGACAAGGCTTTCAGAGTTCATTTTGTTGGCAGCTTTTTAAGTAGAGTTTTTTAGGCTCTTCTGTTTCAAATACCATAATACTTTTTGTGTTCCTAACTATGAATTACGACAAGCTTTCTTGATATGCCAGGTTCTAATCCTTCAGTGGGTTTGTTTATCTCAGGATATAATAGGAAACCGTATCAATTATCTTGACTGTGTAAATGTTGTTTCCTCTCTACTAGAATATTCATCTTGAGACATATCATCAGATGTTACCTGTTCTGACAATCACGTTTTTGTGCCATTGTTGGGCAACAGAAACAAAGAAAAACAAAATGTTAAGAGTGTAAGGGATAAAAGAGTGTTGAAACTGTTGTTCTTTTCCTGTCTTTGGAATCTCCAAGATCTTGAATGTTTTATTCCTGGCTGTTATTTTGTTACCACAGTGTGAATAGAAGTCATTATCTGTAAACATTTGAAAAGAGAGATGATTTTCATAACTTTAAATCCTACAAAGGATTCTAGTAATCTGCTATGTGCATGCCAAGGTAAAGCTCAGCCTTTCATCTGGTCTGATCCCACCCAGTCAGTGAAAAATGTTCCTTTGGTGAATGTCTAAACCACGCAGTATCTCCTGTGAGAAGCAGACAAAAATGAAAACAGGAAGCCTGGCCTTGAAGGCAGCAGCAGGAGAAGGTGTGTTGTAAAGAAAGGTGTATTTACAGCCTTCAGGTTGTGCTTCACTGGGAAAAATTAGGTTCAAAGGAAGCCTTATTTTTCCTTTTGTTCTGAGCTAATTGTTAAATGTGATCTTTGTGCAGATCTGCTCTAGTCTCCAATAGCTGGGGGAAAGGGGATTCATGTCTGCTCACGCTCAGCAGTTTGTCAAGAATTTTCTGCTGAGGAGCTTTTGAACACGAATATAAAGTTAACAGGACCAGTATAATGAACCAAAAAGACAAGGAATCAATGTGAGATGGGCACAGCAGTTTATATGCAGCAGTGGGATGTGTCTGGGTGCATGTGGGGCGTGTTGTTTTCTGGTTCTGCATCCTTCATCCCCCTAAGGGTGTTTGTGTCATGAATTGGGTGGGCAAGTCCTGCTGCAGCCCCCAGTGAAAAGCTGCTGCTGGTGTGGGACCCAGCCCAGTGACACTGTGGGGCTGCCCCTCTCAGATGCTGAGCAACTCTCACTCGTCCGCACTCAGTGGGAATTGCAGATTCTGATCTTCAAATGAAGCATTCAGCGTTAATCTTTCCCTTCAGCCGTGTCACCAGCAGGGCCCAGCCGTGCTGAGCTGCTCCCTGTGCCCTGGCAGTGCTGCTGGAAGGGACAGGGAATTGTCAGCAGCATCGTGGGGCTTGTGTTCCCTCTTACCACTCATCCTGCCTTGAAGGATGCAGGGCAGGAGTGGGAGAGCAGGAGACTCACTCTGGGGAGAGACAAGGGCAAAAAGAGTGGAACTGGACTGAAACAGCAAGAGGAAAATCCCTCTCATGGGCACTGGAGAAATGCATAATTCTGGCAGACAAGCTCTTTCTCTGTCCTTGACAGGAAGAGCAGAGGTGCTTTATTTACCTCCTGTCACTGTGATTCTGTTTGCTGCTTGGGCTGGGAAGTGGCTCTGGAGAAGTTCAGAGGGAAGTGCTGGGTGGTGAGAGGGCTGGGACAGACACAGAGAGCTGCAATTCCCCCACCCTGAGCTGTGCACACACAGCCCCTGTGCCAGAGAGCTCCTGCCCTGCTGAGCCTGCAGAGCAAACAAACCACGAGCAGAAATGCTGTGCTCGTGTTTGTGACAGCACAGCTTTGGGGGGACTGTCACTGCCACGACTGCTCCTTGTTTGGTGAGGATTAACTCGCACTCTGAAGGTCACAAGTGATGTTCTCAGGGCGTTAATGCACTTAATTGTTGTGTTCTCACAGGGTGTTCTTCTTTAATCTCCCCTACGAGTCCATCATGGAGCGCCTGTCCCAGCGGAGAACTGATCCTGTCACTGGGGAGAGGTGAGCACTCCTGGCTCGTGTGTAACATTTTCCTCACTGCCAGGGAGATGAAAGCACCAAATAGGCTCCTTAGAAATCTAAGGAGCTCTACTCCTGCTCAGGGATTCCTTAAAAGAAAAGTTAAAACTTTCATAGCTCCTGAAGCACCAGCCCACCTTCCTGCTGCAGCAGCTCCTCAGAACAGGGGGTTTGAAATCCTGAAATCTGCAGCAGCAAATAGCTCAGGTCTAACATTTTCATGGTGACTAAATTGGTTGGTAAAATAATGCTGAGGGAAGATGTCTGAAACCTAGCCTAAGTGCAGATGGTTTTCAGACATTCCCATGGGAATTCTGAAGGTTTCCCAGCTGGGGAAAATGGAAAACTTGCTGCATTTTACTTCCCCAGGCTCCTGTGATGGTCCTGTGTGCTGGGAGGTGTTAATGTATTTCCTGCTCAGTAGAGCAAACTCATTTGAGTCACTGAGTCACTGTAAGGTTGGTTCATCTCACTGGTGTCACATCCCCTTGTCCCACCAGTGACCTTCAGCTTTCCTGCATTCTCCACCCTTGATTTCCAGGGAACAAGTCACAGATAAATTTATCTTCCTAAATACCTGCTGGAGTTGGCATGTGCTCACACCTTCACTTGTGGTCTGGTTTTGTGATTTCCCACACATAAATTTTAAACCCTGATTTTGCTTTTCTAAAGGCTGAGCACATCCTATTGCATCAAAGACAAATCCTGAACCCCCAAAGATTAAGGCCATAAGGAGTGGATTTGTCCCAAAGTGATGGATGATTATTCAGACATCTCACTCGAGGTGCAGCATTAACTTGTGACAGCAGCAGTGATTTGCTGTAACTGCTCTCTTTGCTTTAGCAATGAGCAATGGGGTTGTTCAGCAGAAAGGAACAGGCTGAAGCAAATCATTCCCACATCTTTGCATTTCTTATCATTAGGATTAGGCTGTTCAGTATCTGCTCCAGTTCACACGCTTCCTTCTCCCACACTCTGGGGTTTATTCCTCACAAATTCTCCGTGAATTGAATTGTTTTAGGTGCTGTGTCTAATCCTTGGCTCTGTGTAAATCCTGCCCCTCTGGCTGCAGGGTGTGGCCTTCAGCTGTGCCCTAAATGATTCCCACGTGGAATAAATTCTGTGTCCACGTCCTTGGATGCAGCTCTGCAGACACACAGACTCTGCTCTCTCCTTGGTTTTGCATCTGTCCCAAAAGTTTCGGAATATTTGGCTGTACAGGAAGAAGGATAAGCTGGTTTTGTCTTAGGGCAGAGAAGACATTTACTCAGGGTTAGGATTACCAATTCTAACAGGGAATTTAAACATTTGATTGCAAAGGAACTTTTAGAGATTGTTGGGAGCCTTTGGCAAGGCAGGGACATCATCTGAATTCCTTTGGTGTCAGCTGAGCTGGGCTGTGGCACTGCCACAAGACTCTGAGGATGAAAATCCTCTTTCCTGCTGAAGTAACTGAGGGAAGCCACAACTGTGAATTGAGGGAAGCCAAATTCTAGCATTTGGAAAATCAAAAATAGCCAAAACCTATCTCAGGTGAATTAACTTTATTTTACCTTCTGCTACTACATAAATTAATTAAATTAATAACTTTATACATATATATAATACATAAATTACATATAATACATAAATTATAAATACATAAATTAATTAAATGCCTGAGAGCCTTAAACATAGTTTAAGTGACAAGTCCCAGCAATGCTGGACACAGGGCTGTGTTTATGTTTAAAGGTTAGAATTTTTAGATGCTTTTTTAAAGACAGGAATCAAAGATTACAAGTAGAAGATCTGGAAATGCTTCTGAATGTGGAGCACTGAGTAATGTAATAGAAATTTCTCCTTATGTGAAGCAGATAAACACAACCAGTGTCACCTCCAGAAAAACCCTTGGCCTTTGAGGATCCAGGATTCTTGAAGGCAGCAATGACAGATTACCTGCCCTGAAATTTCCAATCTTTGTTTTAAAACCCCAACCTGGAGCAGAAAGAGGACTGTGCTAGGTAAAAGCATGGAGTGTTTGCAGAAGTGGCTGCTGTGTCCTCAAGCTGAGCTGAAACCGTTGCATTTCTTCTCCTCTGCAGATACCACACCACATTCAGACCAGCTCCCACTCCAGAGATCCAGGCCCGGCTCAGGCAGAACCCCAAAGATGAGGAAAAAAATATTGAGAAACGCCTGGACATCTATTTCAGCCATGTCAAGGCCCTGGAGGATTTTTACCAAGATGCCTTTTATGTCAATGCTGACCAAGACCCTTATGTTATCTTTGAGTTCATAGAAAGCTGTATCATTAAGCCCCTTCCATGTAAAAACATTAGAAGTTTATAATTTAAAGGCATGATTTGTAGAAGAGTTGATTTTCAATTTTTCCCTGTAATATTTGCAGCCTGGTTGCTGAAGTGGCAGGTTAGCACCAGGGAAGGGGAAGTCAGCCAGGCTGTGCTAAATCTGAACCTCACCAAGGCTGAGTGAAGTAACACCATGGCTGGGGAAGTCCTGTGCTTAATTCAAATATTTTTTTCTGTTCCTGAATAGTAGTTTTGTCTTCACTGTGTAAAACCCATGAAGTCGATTTGGAGTATTAAAGCTGTTAAATGTATTTGTGTCTTAATTCTCCACCAAAACCACCCAGACACTCCCTGTCTCCCTCTGTTCCTGCAAGCAAACCCTAAAGCAAAGAGGAAAACAAAGCTCCCAGCTCTGCAGTGAACTTTCTCCACAGGGGTTTTCACTCCCCTGTTAACTCAGATTGTTTAAAAAGTGCTGACAAACCCCTCTGCAGATCGAGTGGCCATCCCCATTCTGCTGGGCAGGATATCCAGAGCCCTGGAAGGCTGATTGCAGGTTCATCACTTCCAGAACCCAATCAAGGACATAATGAGCTGCAGGAGCAGGTGGGTCACTAAATTCTGTTTTCCTTTGGTAACAGCTCCCAGCCTGTGGCTGCTCTGGCTGAGCTGTGCCTGGGCACGTTGGTGTCCAGGGTTTCTTTCTTTTCCTTCTCTGGCTGGATATGGCAGCAATGAATACTTTTTACCTGGAAAGTCTCTGATGGAAGCCTGCTGGCTGTCTCAGACCCTGGCTGTGGAGATGCACATCCTTCCTGCCTGTAAGAAAGGGGAGTGATTTGTGCTGTGGTCGGAGAACTGGCTTGGATGCCTCTGTTGTGTCTCCTTCTATTTCTCCTCTGTGTGTGAGTGTGAATTCCCCCTGTCAGGGCATGGGGAGGAGCTTCAGGTTTCTCAGGGAAGGTGCAGGCAGAGAGAACAGGTTTTTGGGTTTAGGTGACTCCTCTGGTCCTGTTGCTGTCAATAGATTTGAGTCTTTGCTGTTGTCTTTGGCTCTGTGTGTCTAAATCTTATGGAGAAATGAAAAATGCACAGGCCAAATTTCCTTCTTGCTCCTGTAAGTAACTTCAGGTGGAAAGACCCAGGTTGTCCAGGTGGCAATGGGAATATTGTGTTATTTTTTGAGAATTTAGTCAAAATTTTCAATACTTTTGGGAGGGGAGGGGTGTTAATGGATGGGAATTGGACTTCCTAACCTTGAGGCCAGCTCTAAAAGTCTCAGAATAAATACCTTTGAAATCTAAGAAAGCGAAATCCAAGCAATCTGAGTCCCTGATGCCTCTTGAGCTGAGAAATTCCAGCCTGTAGCACCAGGCTAAGGAGAGGCTGCTCCCAGGCACAGGGCCCAGCTACAAAGCCTTGTGTTCAGCTGGGCAAGAACATCTTTCACAGCCCTACCTGTTACAAATGTGCTGGTTGGTGACTGCTTGGGCAGCTGGGTTTTCTGCCATTGCTATGAAGATGTGCTGCAGCATCTGTGCATAATTGGGAGCCCTTCTATTAATAATACATGGGAAGCTCATCTTGCTAATATCACCTTCATCTGAGCGTTCCTACTAAATATTTTGATAGATGAAATGGGTAGAGAGTGTATTTAAATACTGTTTGTACTGCAGCTAGGGTACAAAAGGGACAGTGCATCTTTAATTAGACAGGTACATCTGCTTAATTAATTTAGCTGTAAAGCCCTTTTTCCTCTTCATTCTTTCATCTATATGCGGATGCTATATTAGTTCTGCTCCGCTGGTTCCATAGAAACTGAGAAAAAGAGCTCAGTCTCATTGAGATGCACTTGGCATGTCTGGGTAGGAGTCTCAGGTCAGTGGTCAACCCCCAAGGGTTTGCAGCAGGCCTGAAGTGCAGAACGTCAGGGTTAGCAGAACATGCTAATACTCATGTAGAACTCTCCCTCAGAAACAACTAAAACAATTGACATTCATTTAATTACTGTAAACGAAACAGCCCCTGCATGACTTTGCATAGTAAAGCCTGTTAATACCAAAAAGGTTCAGTGGGTGGAAGGAGGAATTAGGCTTTTATAATTGGAATGCAACACTTGAAAACCAATTTGGTAACTAGGCGTGATTTTATTAGCATCTTATTCTGGCAAAACAAATGTTGAGCAATGAGAAAAACAAGGTAAAGAGGAGGTGGTAGGAACGCAGCAGGGATCAGATGTTACTGATTGTACAGCTTTGCCCAGGTCTGGAATGGACATCTTCCATCACTCTGCTTCCCAGAGACACTTTGTGCAGAGGGCTGCCTGGAGCTGGTGCTGTACCCTGTAACTTATGCTGTTAATTATGGAGTTGAGCAACAAGGTCAGTTTGTCCAACTGTTCCACAAACTTTTGTGTGCACCAGCTCCAGACACCGGATCCTCCAGTGGTGGAAGGGCACTCGAACACCCCCAGGCAGGAGATCCCCTCCTCCAGCACCACCTCTGCAGGGATCCCCTGGAGCTCTCCAAGGATTTCCCTGCTCTCACCTTTCCCTTGAGGTTTAGATGCTGCTCAGGGAATGGAATTAACCCCAACCTGCTCTGTGGTGAGGGCTCAGAGAAGCAGGAATGGCTCGTCCTCCTCCTCTCTCCCAAAGAATATTTATTGTCTTTATGTATGCAGAGACAACCATAGAATTTCCTCTCTAGAAATACACAATAGGATGAAGAGGATGAGGAAACACCAAAGGAAAGGGTGACTGAATGATGAGGCCCCAGAGCCACAGGTGAATTGAGGTAAAAGGCAGCAATGTGGTCCCTCATCACCAATCCCAGAGCAGGGGGGGTAATTTGGAGACACAAGACTGAGTCCTTATGACCCCAAACTTCCTTCTTAGTTCCAGGAATGGCATCTAGCACTAAGACACTGGACAGTCCAGAGCTGTCCCACTTATCCATCCAACTTGGATTAGCCAAGGGGATGACTTCTTCATCCCAGTGGAGCAGGGATTAACTCCCAGTGTGATACCAGTGTGAGCAGCAAATCTTAAATGCTGTCAGAAGCTCCTCATCAAGGAAAATGACACCTTAGCTCTGGACAAACAGGATCTCTGCCTGTTAATTCTCAGCTGCAAGAGCAAGTATCCTAATCCTTTAAAAAAAAAAAAAAAAAAAAAAAAAGGGCACAAGGAGCCTTTAGTCCCTGCTGGAATGTTGCTCTTCTCTGGAGATGAGGGCCAGAGTGTTCACCACCAAATGGTGAAGCAGTTGACATCTTCCAGCTATTCACTTGTTGGAAGTATGCTGCAACACTTATTGAGATAAACTCCAACTCAGTGGGATTTGTTCTCTTTGAACACTTCAGTTGGTGTCTCAAAACCAGATGTGTTAATTTGAGGAGGCCCCTCTGAAAAAGGCAAAATAACACAAGGCTCTGGCAGCAGGTGCTCGTTCCTCGCTCCCTGTGAGGTGACAGCAAGGTTGGACCAGGACAATGTGTGGGACAATGCCCCAAGGTGCTGCTGCAGCACCCAGCCCTGTGTGCCCAGAACTGCCCCTCACAAGTGTGAGGCATAAAAAGATTCCTGGAGCAGCCTCAGGGCTCGCTGGGCAGCCAAACCCACTCAGGTCAGCACCAGGGGTTAAATGTTACTGAGTGAGGCAGGCTCTGCTACTCTGGTTAAAAATGCACTTAGGGACAAGTGCTGGTTTACACAAAAATTAAATCCCAATTCCTCTGCACCTGTAGTGAACAGGTCAGGGTGAAGAGTGAAAGCTTTTTGCTAAAGGATCTCTACTGGCAGACAAAGACAACATTGTTGGTTTTAAAATTCCATTTTCCCAGAAGTCTCAAACCAGGTTAAATAAACTGGCAATGGCAGACTGAGTGTCTGCTGCCTGGAAAGACAGGGAAAATAAACATTAATGCTGCAATGTTAATGTCAGGTGTGCTAGAGCTTCTCCATGGCAAAACATTAAAACTCAGTCCAGGGAAAATTCAAGAGAACTGTCAGAAATGATCAGCAAGAACCAATCTCATCTGTTATCATGTGAACCTTTGGGTCAGCCAGACTTAAACATTTCAGTAGATCAGGATATTTTTATGGTGTCTCAGCCATGGCCAAAGAAATGTTCTTTGACTTTTTCTGAAAGCACTGGGCAGGGTTCTGCAGGGCTCCCTCCCCTTCTCCACAGGCAGGAGAATTTCTAAACTGGAACTTTTACTGATGAACTGGTCACAGCTGCCAGGGCAAGGAGTTACAGCTTCCATTATTTAAAATGCCTTCTCAACCATCACAAATAAACCTCTGCTCAGCTCATATGGAAATGTTCTGTTCCCCCAGGTTCCATCAGCACTGGGAAGTTTTGTCCCAGGTACCAGAGCTGGCCCCAAACTCCAAACACGTTGGGTATGAGGTCACTCCTTGTTTTACTGATACCAACACGAGCTGTATTTCCCTTCTCTGCAGACACACTGAAGTAATTTCAATTTTCAATGCACAGCAATAAAAAACTAAATGTTTCTTTAATACAATTATGGTATCACTTCCAAGGATATTTACAAACAAGGCTAATTATTTTACAGATGAATGTGCTTCTGCTGTTTCTAGGCTATTACAGTAATGTTCTTCTCAGTCAATGCATGATCATGCTTAATGCATGAGACACTGAGCAGAAGGACAGCTGACTTCTTTAATGTTTGCTGAAAAAAATGTGCTCCTATTAAAGGTGAAGGAACATTAACAAAATATGCATAGTCATTGAATCGAGGAAACAAGCACCAATCACACATGCACTGATGGGACACTGATAGTGTCAGCACAATTCCATGATTTCTCAACAGCTGTGGAGCACTTCCCACACAGTGAAAGTGTCAGGAATCACAGACAGGAATCACCTCTGCGATTGGCACTCTGCAGAATGGAAATACACAAACTCAGGATTATTTGACAGCATGGATTAGAGTTAACAACACAAACTGTACCAAGTAATCACACACATTTGGGAGGTATTATTCCTCTAACACTGCATAGGATGTTGAAAAGGATTCTGCTCTCTGTAGGAACAGATGGCAAAAAAAAAAAATAGATGTTTTTTCGGATAGGACAATTACAAGGCAAAGTAAATTTCTGGGCTCAGCCACTTGAGAGAGACTTTCTACAAGAGCCTGGAGTGACAGGGCAAGGGGGAATGGCTTCAAAAGGATTAGATGGGATATTAGAAAAAAATCCTTCCCTGTGAGGGCGGGCAGGGCTTGGGGCACCCTAGGCTAGCAGAAGGTGTCCTTGCCCATGGGAGGGGTGGAATGAGATGAGCTCTATGATCCCTTCCAACCCAAACCATTCTGGGATATACAAAGAGCTTCACCACCCTCCTTGGGCCTACCTAGGGCCTGTCAGCCATGGTGGGGTCGGGTTTGGGGTGTTCTGTTTGTTTTGGGGTTTTTATGTACTATTGTGAAAAGAAAAACTGTCAGCTGGGAGTGATAAATCATGTGTCAGATCTGTGTAAAACTTAAGTGCTGTATGAGGGAGACTCTCAATTTAATTGACAGTAGTGTTAACTGGTAATACTTTTGGAACTGAGTTTCCCTGGAAAAGAGAATTCCTCTTGGTAGAGGGTTAAGTGAAACCAAAGGCAAATACACTGGCAAGAGCTGGGAAGGAGTTAGAATTTAGATCAGAAAAAGAAAGGGGCAAGAGAGTTAAGAGCATTGGAAATTATATATATATATGTATATATATTAGTGTTTAAGCTAATTGCTATTAGTTTAATAATTATTATATTTAAAAATTATCCTTACTGTTCCCTATTTGACCCAGGCAGCCAATATCACCCTTCTGACTGAAACACTGTTACATTTGTGAGGCAGTTACTCTTCTAGACTTTCAGTGAAATTCATGTACTGGCCAAACTCTTTCATATGGCTGTAACTGGCATCTGCTTCTCTGGGCAAGACACTGGAACCATGGATTATCTGGAGAGTTCCATGTTCTACAGCAAATGCAAGGGTGGTTAAAAAGCAAAGGAGAGCACTGCAAGCTGGAGCCTTCTCTACCCACCAAGACCATTCAAGAGGCAGCTCTGCTGTTCCATCCCAGCTTTTGGGAACTGACACCAGTGTCAGGCAGAAAGGACAATTCCCACTCTGTTCAACCCTCCAGTTCCTTGTCAGTGTCCAGCTGCTGAGGCTCCATGGGTGCATTTCCAAGCTGCTTTAAACTGGCTCTTCCAGGTGTATTCCTGTTTCTGGAGCATGGAATGGGCTCTGGATGTCAGGAGTTTGTAGAACCTGTGATGTTCTATATACAGGGCTGTGGACAAGGTGTTCCCCCTCCAGCAGAGTCTGTGCTCCTGTCTGTATCCTCCCAGGCTGAAAGGAGCTTATGCAGTAGAGAAAAAACTTTCAGTCTTGACACAGCTTTTCTCTAGAACACAGGAGAATCACAGAAGGTGCAAGGTCCCTGCAATAACCTCTTGATCCATTCAGGATCTGCAAATAAGAAAACAAGTTGTTTAAAGCTGGAGGTAGAGATGAACAGAGGAATGACACCTGAGATGCACAAACTCAACAGGAATCCTGGACAGTTTGCATATATTCACATGCAGGAGTGACTGAGAATTCAGTGAAATCCAACTCTGTTTCTGCCCTGAAATTTCAAGCAATGGCAGTTTAAATTCCACCTCAGCAGGGGACAAAATTAAGGTGAAACACTCCAAGCTTTATCCTTACATGCTCATAGCTATATAGCAAAAAAATGTAAAGGATCACCACGGCACAACTGCAGTGTTCTCATTTTCTGAACTGAAATTAGATCCCTCACATAAGACAGTCTTTGATTCCTGTTTCTTCATCCTTCTTGCAGAACTGGAGGCTGATCTATTCAACTTGAATATCAAACTAACTGCTGGAGCAGTCCAGCACAGATTATGTGTTTACCCGGATTTCATTAAATTGTGGGATTTACACTTCAGTTTCTGCAGTTATTAATTTTCAATTAACAAGTCACTAATGCCCAGACAACACCAGGACACTGTGAAATGCAGAGATTCACATGGGAACTGCCTAAAAGAGTAAAATCAGTGAAACTAATTCAAGCCATTTTGTAGATACAAGTTTAAAGCCCCAGGAACATTTTACCTTCTGGGGTTGGGTGCCGTGCAATGCTGTCGTGAAGCAAACACCTCCTGTACACCAAACTCTGGCAGGACTGGTAGGTTAGAAAGCACCTGTGAAAGGACAAGCAGTTTTATCATAAGGTTTGGGGTTTATTGTTTTATGACCTGGAGGTTGGGTTCTGGTCACATTAAGGCAGTAATGAACCACATTAACTATTAAAATTATTAATCTGGGTAAATGAAACTTCCCAAGTGTACCAAATTGCATATGGACACAAAAATGAAAGGTCAAAAATCAACATATCATTGACAAAAAAATTCTAGCATAAGGGAGTAGAAAAGCTTGAGGCCCTACTGCACAGGAAAGAACCAGGGGGTCTTTAAGGCCATGACTATTGACCCAAACTGGCACACAAAACCTGTTAGGCACAGCTTTTTTCTGTCACAAACTAGTGACTTGCCACAGCTCCAGGGACAATCTCCACGTACTTCCTACAAGGGTACAGAAAGATTTCATCTTCTAAACGTTCCAGAATTTGTCTGACTTCTCAATGTGCCTGTTCTCAATCATTTCTTGTTAAACTGCTTTTGTTTTCAAATGCTGAAGGAGCCTGAGCAAACCCACCCTCAAGTGATGTTCCAAAGGATGACTTGTTCTCAATTTTCCCTTGCCTGCTTTCTCCTTGATCCCATATTCCCCTCCAAAAAAGATGCTCAAAATCATTTTATTATAAAAACATTGTCCTGCTAAGAGAACCAAATCCAACCTCCAGTGCCCTGGCTCTTATGGGGAGAACAAAAAAAACTGCAGAATGGCTAAGATGCTTCATGCCTTTTCCCTCCTAACAAGTGGTTCAGTGAGCTCCTGGGGGAATGTTTGAATTCTCCAGAGGAGGGGACAAGCTCTGGGTGACTGAGCCCATCACCTGAGCCAGATGTGGCCGTTGGAGCAGACTGCCTGTTTGCGGTCCGTGAAGGGCAGGATCTCCTTGCACAAACTGCAGTGCTCGGGGAAGGTCTGTTTGTTCATCTTCTTCAGGATGTGCCCAATCAGCACCTGGAACACACAGGAGGCACAGGTGAGACAGCCCAGGCTGGGAACACATCACTGTGACTTTAGAGTGACACAGAATAAGCTGAATCCCAAAAAATCAAAGTGTAAGAAATACAGTGTATCAGTAAATATTCATGTATTCTCTCTTTGTTCTCCGAAAGATTTCTGTCCCAAACTAAAGGGATGTTAAAAACAGTAATTCCTTGCAAATTTTAAAAGTACTGAAAGAACTGATACCACACCACTGACCATAACAGCAATGCTTTCCTTCATGCCTATCACAGTGGATGTGCTAAAAAAAATTCCTGTTCAGAAATTCCCTGGATGTCTTCAGCAGTCATCTGGGAGTACAACATTTATAGCAGAACATTTATGTGATCAAATTTGTCTGTGACATTTCAATAGATATAAACCACATCCCAGGGACCTTTTAAGTGTGACAGCAAATGGAATATATAAAATACAATTTAGAAGTCGCTTTTCACCACTATAAAAAAGAAACAAGATTCTTCTAAGATAAGAAAAGCAACCTCTCAAACCTTCAATTCATAATAATTGAATGCCAGAACAAGCCAGCAGTTGTGCCAGAGCATTTTCCTTGTGAGTTACTGATGGCCACACTTGGCTGTGATGCCAGCAGGGAGAACACCAGTGATGGACACGTGCTTCCTTCCTCTGTCTCTCTGGATGCAATACAAAGGTGGATTTTTAGAGTTCAGGTGATTTAAGGACTTGGGTATGAAAACAACTGTTCTCTGCTCATACAAAGAGGTGCAGAGACACCCGAACAATTCTTGTAATTGAGTTTTAAGAGTTGTGAGGTTGATGCAGCCACAGGTGCCTTTGTCTCCCCTCTGTATTCAGAGAATTTCAGTGCCCTGTGCAGGCTTCACTGGCCACTGACCTCCTGCCACAAATGCATCTTCTGCACATCACAGCAGTCAGGATACTGTCCTTGCAGTTAGGCTTTGACATTGGTAGGGACACTGCAAGTTTGGAAAGTGTTTCTATCATGGCCAAGCATTCAGTTATGCTCATTAATTGTAGTGCAGTAAGCGCCAGTGTGCCTAAAAGTGCTGGCCATGTGTGTTGTAACAAAGGTATTCAGTCAGCTTGGTTAATTCAATGTCCTGCATGAAGTTCTGAACCCCTGGGTTTAACTCATAAAACACAACCACCTTCTGACCCTCTGAAAATGATCTCTGCACTGAAGGCTCAGGGAGCAATGACAACACCTGATGGACCACCTGAACAGTGACTTCAGAAGAGACTTCTGCAGCTCTTAACATTAGAACTGCACTGTGATTGACCAGAGGAAATACAGCTGAAGTTGAGTTGTGTAAAGATGATGGATTAGATAAACTTAATAATGAAAACAAAACATCCTGCAATTAGTTCATGTTCTAAAACCACTGAGAGCAGCACAATAACCCCAGTCCTCTCCCCTGTTCTGCAAAAACTTGGGCATCATGATTCTTTATTGTACCTGATCCAAATTTCAACGTCTGTATTTACATTCCCTCCTATTTCACAATATCAAGGAAGGACAATTTAAGCTGAATGCTCTACAGAATCTGACCAGCAAGGATGACATGACCACAGCTCTCTTTGCAGCCCAGCTGTATTTTCAGGAGGGGGGAGAAGGAAGTGACAGTGACACAGAATCCCCCGAGCAGAGGTGCCACTTACTCGTGCTGTTCTGTCATCGTAGCCATCGTCAGACATTAAGAAGTCACAAACTCCTCTGGTGGGAATGCTGGTGTTCTCTGTAATCCACGTGTGCAGGTAAACTTCTCCCAGCACCCTTTTCATGTGTTCTCGTGTCAAGTGCATTTCTACAGCCTCAATCTGTGCCTGTATTTCAAGAAGCTTTTCTACCATTGGTTCACGGCCTCCAGTGTCACTTGACTGATGGAGAGAATCCTCTGCAGTGTCATCAATGTCCACACCTTTGCCTGTGTCCCCCAGGCTCTGCTTGCTGGCTTGTTTCGAAGTTCCTTCCTCTTGATCATCTTCAGTGCTGCCCATCCCAGGGGAATCTGATATCAAGATTTTGGCATCCTCGTGTGAAGGTTTCCACGTGACCTCTGAGGGGGCTTTCTGCATCGACTGGTACAAAATCCTCAAGAGAAACAGCTTAAACCTCCAGAAGTAAGTGGAACCACAGCTCTCTATCTTTTTATCCAGTGCTTCTTGTAAGAACTGAGGAATGTGCTTATCCTTCAAGATTTTCCAGCGTACAAGATCAGTCAAGTCCACTTGCCGGAAAAGGTTTTGAACAGAAGATTCTAAGAGCTGTGCAGCTGCCTCCTCAAAAGTCTTGAGGGTGACAAACTGAACTTGGTAGTTTTTGTTGACCGGGTGCAGCCCGTTGGCCATGCCCTCGGTGGTGATGACTGCCAGGTACGCCCCGCAGGGGCTGACAGCAATTCCGTGAGTCCTGACACAGCCAAACACCTCGGAGAGCTTGATCAGCTGGTGCTCAAACTTTAAAGCAACGTCTGTGAATATGGGGATGAGCTGCCTGACCTTGCCATCGCTGGAGCAGGTGTACACCGTGCCGTTCTGCTTGTCTGCAGTCATGGAGACAATGGGTAAAGAGTGGAGCCCCGTCACGTGGGAGTTGTGGACGTTCAGCCCCGCTTTGGATATCAGCAGGAGGCACCAGAACACGTAAGGGCCTCTGGCAGCCACCACCAGGCTGCAGCTGCATTTCTGGTAGGGGTGGTAGAGAGGGATGCATTTGATGCTGTGCACGGGCAGCTGGTCCATCTCCTGCCACAAGACCACGGGCTGTCTCAGCGTGAAGTAGCCTTTGACAGCCTTGAGGTTGACAGGGATGATCTTCACCGGGCCGTAGGCGCTCCCCACGATCAGCCCGCTCATCTTCCGGTTGTTGTGCTCATACTCCCACCAGGACAACACGCTGGGGGAGCTGATTCCCGACTCGATGGTATTGCAGGAAGTGATGGATTCCTTCCCCAGAAAGGGCAGCTGGAACTGCCACACGGCGATGTTGCCATTCTCGAAGAGCACGGCCAGCAGCACGCTGCCCACATCCCGGCACTCGTTGTTGTGCTTGACCTGCTGGGTGGTGCAGATGCCCGACCACTCCATGCGCACCGGGGCCTGCATGCTGTGGCGCCGCTGGAACTCGGGGAAGTCTCCCAGCTCCCCGCAGGGAGTGTCAGCCTTGCACAGTCTGTAACTGGCCTCCAGCAGGCGCTCGCCGTAGAGCTCGGTCAGGTCCACCAGCTGCACCCACTGCAGCCGGTTGAGGTTGGCGTGGATGGTCAGGCGGTTGTCCATGGTCAGGGCTGCCAGCAGGCACCTCCCGTTGGCATCACAGCCCAGAGGGGACCAGCTGGAATATTTGAAGCCCCTCATGGGCGTCAGGGACTTCCCCTCGGGGTTGAACACTCGGTCCAACATAAAGGTCTGGCTGACGGTGGGATCCACTGAGCTGGCGAATTTCTCCTTACACTCAGCCACCTCCTTCTTTGGGCCAACCTAAAAGAGAAAAAAAACCAAACTTTAAAACAACTGTACAGCTTTTTTTTTCTTTTTAATTAAGATTTTCCTGGAATTAATTCCCTCTTGAAACAGAGTATCCACAATCACAACCAACACTACACTGGTTAATTGATGTCACTCCTAAAGACTTCAGCTTCATTAATGCCATGAATTTGCATAGTTTTGACTCTCGGCTACTGAATTTTTGTCTGCTGAATCAAAGAGCCTGTTTTCATACTTCTGTTCTTCTAAAGATACCTGGCATAATATGTAAATCCTCAGTATTTCAGCTCCACTCCATATTCTCAGCATTGTTTTGGAAAATAAAATCAGATTCACAACAACAAAGTATTATTTAATATGATATTCACCCACATCTGCCATCTTCATAAAAAGTCAGATGTTCGCCTGAAGACCAGAGAAATCCCTGCTGCAAAAATCCTTCAGCTTAGGTAGCAAAACAAAAGAAGATTCCTACTTAAAATTGTATTGAAATAATTGTACTAGAGCTCAAGTGATTCTCAGAAAAACTGCAGAACCTCAGAATCCCTGGACATCACTGGGATACAGTTTTCTCTCCCTTGTCCTTTTAAAAAGAGAGACACTGCAGCAAGTTCTGGGCAGAGCAAGGGCAACTCCCCAAGAGGGGGATCAGAATCCCGGGATGGGTCAGGCTGGAAGAGACCACAGTGGAGGAGACCTCAGATCCTCTCTGGATCTGCACAGGACAGAAGTTCTTCTCATGTTCAGCTGCAGCTTCAGTATCTACCAGTTTACACCAGTTCCTCTTGCCTTATAGCTTGGCACCACAATCATTTAAGTTTGAAAAGCCTTTGAGCTCATCGAGTCCAGCCTGTGACCGATCCTCACCATGTCACCCAGCCCAGAGCCCCGAGTGTCACGTCCAGTGAACATCCTTGAACACCTCCAAGGACGGTGGCAGCCCATTCCTAATCACCCTTCCTGTGAGGAAATTATTTCTGATGTCCAACCTGAACCTCCCCTGGCTCCCTCTTCTTGCCACCTCCCCCTTTACACATTTAGACACATTGACGAAGCCGTGCCGGGCGCTCACCTTGAGCATGCAGGCGGCGCCGGGCGCGGGCACGGCGGTGCGGTGGATGACCATGTCCTGCCCGCCGCTGTGCACGTCGCTGAGCTGTTCCAGCACAGCGATGCTGCGGGCCGTGCTCACCGACACCCGGTGGTCCTCGGACCAGGCCAGCGGCTCCAGCCCGCTGGCGCCGTGCTGCAGCCGCACCGCGGGCTCTCGCCGCACCGCCGTGAGCCGGAACCCGGCGCTCGCCGCCGCCGCTGCCGCCGCCTCCTCCGTGATCACCTCGAGCCCCAGCGGCGGCTCCTCCCGCCCCGCCGCCGCCATGTTACCGCCGCCTTACGGGCCGCGCGCACGCGCCGCCGCCGAAGCCCCCGTTGGGCCCGGCCGAGGCTGCCCGGCCGCCGCCTGCGCGCCCCGCGGGCCCGGGAGCGCGGGTTGCGGGGTGGGGAGAGCCCTCACGGAGCCCTCGCAGCGCCGCGGGGACCGCGGGGCAGCCGCTGTGGGCTCCGGGTTCGGCGGGAGGCTCCGAAGCCGCCGCCGCGCCGCCCTCACGGACCGGGCCGAGCGAGAGGCGGCCCCGGGGGTCTTGCCGGGGAGAGGGAGGGACATGGCGGCAGGCGTGGGGATGCGCGGCCTCGGACGGGTACGAGCGGAGGGGAAAGGAGGGAGAGGTGTGGGGTCTGTGGAACATGGGACTCTGCGGGACAGGGGATACGGGACACGGAACACAGGACACGAAACATAGGACCGTGCGGGATACGGGATACGGGAACCTGCGGGACTCGGGATGCGGGACACGGGAACTTGCGAGATACGGGATACCGAATCCTGCGGGACCGTGACAGGGCAGGGAGGCAGCGTCCGACAAGTTGTTAAATGGAGCTTTTGGTTTCCCCCGCGGCCCGAGCCGGGGCTGATCCGGGCCCGGGGCTCGCAGGTGGCTCCTCGGGCGGGCTCGGGCAGATCCGGCTCCTCCGAGCCCCGGAGCGGGCGGGCTGCGGCAGACAGCGCTGCCCTGACTCACCTTTGACAGGGGTGGGCGATGCTGTCCCGGCCCTTCGCTTCGTCTGCAGAGGCTTTAAAATGCGTTTGAGAGACATTTTTAAAGCGTGTTCTACCCGGTCGCTGGAGAAGTTGAATGAAATTCTTTCGGGATGAGCACTAGATACGGCTTCAGATTGCTCTTCGCGTTTCAGCGGTGGTGGATCTGTTGGAGTAGGAATAGTGTAGCTGCAGAAACCAGCTTTGATTTTTTTAGTCATGGAGTGGGGGATTCCAAAAATAAGGTTCTGCTCTGGGCTGATGTTTGTGTGTTAACTCCAGTCACTGCTGATCCGGTTTGTTTGTTCACTTTATAGCAGTCTGGTGCTCTGAAAAGGAAGCTCCAGTCACCACATGGAAACCCACCCGTGAAACGCAAACGTAAATTATCCGTAAACACCTTCAGGAAGGGTGCCACGGAGGCTGACAGGAGGGAGGAGGCAAGCTCATCACAAAAACCTGTTCCTAAGAAGCAGTTGACTGACAAACAAAATGAAAGCCAGAAGAGCAGACCTTTCATTAAGACGTCCAGCCTGTTTAAAAACAACCCAGACATCCCAGAAATTCACAGGTATTTTAGACAAATGGGAGGGAAAAAACTCTCTTGATATGCCTTGAAATTCAGTGTTTTGAATTTTCACCCTTGCTTGGCAGAACAGTTGCTTGATGCTGTTGTATCGTTTTTAACTCTACTGTGTGTTTTGGTTTTGTTTCCCCTAACTCAGAAAGGAAGTGCAGCAGGTGCAAGAAAATGTTTTCACTACAGATTCCTTCAGCCAACTGGACCTCCACCCACATCTGGTGAGTGGCAGGAAGGCTACATGCCACAAAAACATGGATTTTTGGGTGGGAGGCAGGTCAGAGAACCTTTATTTATGGTGACCTGGATACTTCACCTGATTTTGTCACTTAAGGTGCTGGCCCATGTCCTGACCTGTCCCCAGACACAGTCCCAGCCCTCTTCACTGTTTGCAGCTGTAATACCAAAAAACCACAGAAAACTAGCAATGGTGTAATAGTGACTAACTAAAAAGTATTTTGAGGACATGGGAACTTTATGGACCAGTTAGGCAGAGAATAAGTGTCAGTCTTGTAGGTTTCATCCTGTCTTAGTACAAGAAGTAACAAAAGGAGCAGTTTGGCAATAAAACCTTTATTTCTCTTTATCATCTCTCTAGGTCTCCACGATAAACACTGTCCTAAACATGTGTAGCATGACCAGGTGAGCAAATCAATATCAAAACGTTGCAGTTTACTCCTAAAAGCCAATTAGCTCTGATTATTTCATTATATGTAATTGGCTTGTGAAGACCACAGTACCACTGTCCTATTTGCTATTGGGTTTGTAGGGAGTCCTGCCTTCTAGTTTGGTATTAAATCATAAACCCATCTTGTTTGAATTTGTCACATCTGGTGCCTATCCAGTGGCTTTGCTTAGAAATCATCTCAGCTGATGTAGCTGCACAGCAGAGATGAGTGGGAGAATTTGGGATAAAGACTTTTGAGACAGTCACTGTGTGTTAAAATCTTGGAATTGTGTCCTGTGTTGCATCTGCATTTCCTGCCCTGCTTTTTTTGTCACCCAGTGTTCAGAAGCAAACAATTCCCGTGCTCCTGCAAGGCAGAGATGCCCTGGTGAGATCTCAGACTGGTTCAGGTCAGTGTTGAATTGTCAGTCTCCTTCCTTAGGGTGTGTTAACTGCATTTATTTAGGTAGATCTTAGTGGGATACCACCACCTCTCTTTTCTAATTAACCTTTATTGAATTGCTTGTCAATCTTCCACTCTGGAAACTTCCTACTTTATAGAAACTTTTCCAGACTCTCACTAAAGTTTGAGAATGGTGGGACAAATGGTGCTTTGGTTTGCTGGACTGTTGTAATTGCCACTTTTTTTTTTTAATGGAAAGTTTTCTTATTTTCTCCCTTTCAAAAAGGTAAAACTCTTGCCTATGGAATTCCACTTGTGCAGTCTTTGCAAGGAATGGAATCCAAAATACAGGTAGGTCCAACAGCACTAAATATATTTGCTTTTGATACTAAAATTAATAAAAATAAAATCCAGCTCCTGTAGTCATTACTGTCTCTTTTTCATACAAGCAGTCCACGTTCCTCTTTGTGGCAGATAGGATTTTCCAGTCCTATTGAGATTTGGATGGTACAAGATCAATGTTAGCCATTCCCCATTCCTCCATGCAGCAAGATAAATTGGAAATGGGCTAAATTATCAGGTGTGGAGAATGTAGAGAGCAGAAGAAATGGTCTGGAAGCTGGGAGAACTGAAAACAAAGGTTACTGCCATGTCTTTAGGGGGAGTAAGTTTTTAATCTTTGGCATGGAGTGGGATTGGGTAATTGCTCCCAATATGGATCATACACCAGAAAATGCTGCTGCAGATCTTGAGCATTTTATGGAAAGAGATCATCCTGACTGAAGGGTTGAAGCATTTCCAGCCCATCCTGGATTGTCACTCCCTGCTGCTGCTACCTACAGGTTGTTGCTGTGCATCAAACAGGAGAGCATCCCTGCAGCTCAGGAACACAGGAGTGAAACAATGAGTGTGTGCAATAAAATGTTGGGTTTGACTGAGCAGCTTTCCCAGCAGGGAGGAGAAGGCAGTGCAGGATTGATACGTGAAAAAGTAGTTTTTTTTTTTTAAAAGCTGTGGGGCAGAAATAGCCTGTGCTGGCTGAGAGCAGGGAGGTGTGGAAGGCTCTGTTCAGTGCTGCCTCCTCTCAGAGCCCTGCTCTTGTGTGTTTGCAGCGCAGTGACGGCCCCTACGCTCTCGTGCTTGTCCCAACCAGGGAGGTAGGTGGCTTTTCCTTTCTGATTTTTGGGCATGGGGATGTGGGTCCACCAGAGTTGTCCATATTAGAAAACACTGTCAGTCCTTTTGCTCAGATCTTGCCCTCACAAAAAGCGTTGTCATTTTTGTTCAGTGCCAGCCAGAGTAAGAAAGGAGGAGTTTCTCAGTTCTCCTGCTGCAGTTGGAAATCTTTGTGGAGGCTGCAGAACCTCTCTGGCTCAGTGCAGGCCTCATGCAGGGGGAACGAGTAAAACCAAGGAAATTCAGCTTTGCAAATATGTAGGTTTATACAAGTGTTTCATTTTTAAAGCTGTTTTTTTCAAATTCATAAGTGAATGCTGAAGCTGAGGCCTCCAAGGGTTGGTTTCTTCACTGAAGTCTTCTGTTTAATTTATATTATTTGCAACTGCAAAGGCAGTGTCAGAAGAGGTTATCAACCTTTTTTATTTTTGTTTGGTATGTCAAATGATAATAATTTCCATGTGGAGAATTGATTCAGGTATCTCATTTGGAGTCCAATATTTTATGCAGCTTGCAATGCAATATCTCTGCTCTGTTACCTGAAAGAAGGCTCTGAAGCTATTTAAATTTTTACAGCAACAACTTACTGCCTCTTTAGGATGCCATGTGAATACTAAGCATGGAGGAAACTGTGTGTAAGCTCATTTAAAGGGCTGCCTTTGAGAATACGTAGGAAGATAATTTGTGATTACAATTGGTATTACTTTGTAATAGAAGCAATAACCTTCCTTGAGAAAAGGAATGCAGAGATAGAAAGATACAGTGGCACAATCACTCCATGGGTCAGTGAGGAACAGTGAGGGCTGCCAGAAGAGAATTGACCTATGTCTTTCCTCTTCATGGTGGTTTTTTTCCAGAATTTCTATAAATTTCCCTTTTATTCTTCCTCTGGAGCAAAATCTTCTGTGCCTGTAGCTTGTTTTCTCCCCAGGGTATTCACAGAAGCCAGCAGAAGTCTCTCTTGTCCTGAGAGCTGGCTCATGGAACTGAGCCAGTAGAGAGGTTTTTGAACAGGTCAAAATACAATGAAAGAGAGATTGTTCAGAAGAAAAAATTAATAAGCAGCTTCTAAAGGAAAGACTAAGGATGCATTTAGAATTCAGATACACCTAACTAGATTAATTTACAGATTTTTAGGGATTTGTAATCCTGCTTTTTAGTCTGGAGAGACTTTATCAGAGCTCATTTCCTTTTGTTGATTTCCATAGCTTGCACTCCAAAGTTTTGATACAATCCAGAAACTACTTAAGGTAAGAATTCAATGCTTTGTGTTCTT